CAATTCAACCATTAGGGTAACCCGTGCCGCAGGCCATCACTTAGGCGGGGTTCGAAATCTTCTGGGCATTGCCGTGGGATTCTTGGTGCGAAGGTTTCCGGGACTAAAATTCTTTTCTCACGAAACTTCAAACGTGCGTCCGCGGCTGCCTGAAGCCGCTCTCTGCCCTCTCGACAGCCACCAGCGAGCACCGATCCGCAGCCCGGGGCCACGCGGCCGGGCACCAAGCCTTCGATGGCGGCTCCGCCCGCCATCGACCCGAGAGAGGGGCTCAGGCCTCTCTTGGAGCGTGCGGGCATTGACGACAACTTTTAGGAAAGGCTGCTGGACAAGGGCGTGGGCAATGCTGGCGACCTCCTCGAGGAGGTCGCTTTGAAGGGCATTGCCTCGCTCGGAATCCACGAGCGCCAGGCGGAGAAGCTCCGCCGAGCTCTTCTCGGCCGACGGGGCTGGGAGGACGCAGCTGCTGTTCTTGCGGCATCCTTTGGCGGCCTGTCGCTGGACGACACCCCTGCTGGGGTGGCGGCTGGCGACCAGGCGGCTGGTGGCGCGGCTAGCGCGCCCGCTCTCGACGGCATGGCCGTCGATGGCGGCTACGCGAGCGCCGACGAGGATGCCGGGCCTGCCGCAGGTTGGCCCGCAGCAGCTTCAGGCTCCAAAATGGAGCCGGGCTGCTCTCACAGCGGTGCTGGTACGAGCGCTGCTGCTGAGGGCGGCGAGGGGGCGGTGACTGGCGGCGAGGGCTGCAGTGGCACGCGCACCCCAGAGGCGGAGAGCGGCGCCCGCGAGGCGCGGGCCGCAGTTGTTCCTGGCGGAGGTGGACCCGCTGTGTCAATTGACACATCGGATTCCACGCCGCCGGCGGAGGAGGGACTTAGGCGCACGGTGCTGTCGGCTGGCAGTTCTGGCCCGCCTTCTGGTCTTGGAGATGTCCACGTTCACGCGACTGTCGGAGGTAAATCGCCCGAGCTCGTCTCGGGCGTGGCCGGCACTCCGTTCTTTTATTGCCAGGTGAGTACAATCCAGGATCAGGTGGCGGGCGGGGCGGCTGTCAGGACGCCAGCGGAGGCGGCGGTCGAGCGGGCGGGCGTGAGGACCGGGCGAGGCGGCGGGCGGCGGGCGAGGCGCCAGGCGGGACGGCTGCTGGCGCAAGTGCGCATGGGGGAGACGGCGGCGCGGGTGGCGAGCGCACGCGCAGATGGGGGAATCGGGAGGGGGGCGGAGTCGATTGCGGCTTTGGGGAG